ATGAAACAAAGGTGAAGCATATTGGTGGGTCTTTGGCTTTTCTGTTAAAAGGAAGGTGCAAGTGAGGAATTGCTTCATCATCTCTTCCCATTTCATCCTGTCTTGAATGTGGATGTGATGCCTGGAGCTGTGGCAGCCATATGATTGATCATGAGGTGACAAACATGAGAATCAAAAGCAAATGAGTGAGAACATCAGAGTGGAAATATAGGAGGTGCCTTGGTCTTTGATGGTTTTTTTGAGTGAACACTGAGACCAATTGCTTCCAGACATGTTGTGACATAAACTGTAAACGTCTTTAAGGTTTAAGCCACTCTTAAGTATTCTGTTACTTGCATTCAAAAGTATTTTTTTGTTGTTGTTTTGTTTAGATGGAGTCTTGCTTTGTTGCCCAGGCTGGAGTGTTGTGGCATGATTTCTGCCCACTGCAACCTCTGCTTCCTGGGTTCAAGTGACTCTTCTGCCTCAGCCTCCCAAGTAGCTGGGACTACAGGCGCGCGCCACCACGCCTGGCTAATTTTTGTATTTTTAGCAGAGACGGGGTTTCGCCATGTTGGCCAGGCTGGTCTTGAACTCCTGACCTCAGGTGATCCGCCCGCCTCCGCCTCCCAAAGTGCTGGGACAACAGGCGTGAGCTGTTCCTAGCTGCAGCTCCAGGCATCACATCCACATTCAAGAGTTATCCTGATAACTCTTGCTGTCTCTCTTTCTTATTTTACTTTTGCTGCGTCCGGCAAAAGTATTCTTTTTTTTTTTTTTTTTTGACACAGAGTCTCGCTCTGTCACCCAGACTGGAGTGCAGTGGCCGGATCTCAGCTCACTGCAAGCTCCGCCTCCCGGGTTTACGCCATTCTCCTGCCTCAGCCTCCCAAGTAAAAGTATTCTTTAATAACATTTTTGGGCGGGGTACTTTGGCTCACGCCTGTAATCCTAGCATTTTGGGAGGCCAAGGCGGGTGGATCACCTGAGGTCAGGAGTTCAAGACCAGGCTGGCCAACATGGAGAAACCCCATCTGTACTAAAAACACAAAAAATTAGCTGGGTGTGGTGATAGACACCTGTAATCCCAGCTACACGGGAGCCTGAGGCAGGGGAATCACTTGAACCCAGGAGGTGGAGGTTGTAGTAAGCTGAGATCGTGCCACTGCACTCCAGCCTCGGCAACAACAGGAAAACTCCATCTCAAAAAAAACTCCAAAAAAAAAAAATTTTTATTGAGATGTAATTAACATATCACAAAATTCACTCTCTTAAACTGTTAATTTGTTTTTTAGTGTAGTATTAGAACTGTGTAACCATCACTATTTAATTTCATATTGTTTCTACTACCTCAAAAGAAACCCCATATCCATTAACAATCACTTCCCCAGTCTCCCTCCCCCGACACCCTGGCAACAAGTAATCTATTTTCTGTCTACAGATGTGTCTATTTTAGACATTTTATATAAATGATATTATATAATATATGGTCCTTTGTGACTGACTTTTTTCATTTAGCATATTTTGAAAATGCATCTATGTTGTATTATGTAATTGGCATTTTATTCTTTTTCTGGCTGAACAATATTTAATTGCATAGACATACCCTTTGTCAGTTGATGGACATTTGGGTTGTTTTTATTTTTTGCCCATTATAAATAATGCTGCTATGAACATTCACGTACACATTTTTGTGTGAACATATGTTTTCATTTCTCTTAGGTATATGTCTAGGTGTGGAATAGCCAGGTCATACGGCACTTTTTTTTTTTTTTTTTCTTTTTAAAGAGACAGAGTCTCACTATGTTGCCCAAGCTGGTCTCAAACTCCTGTGGCCTCAAGTGATCCTTCTGCCCTACTCTTGAATAACTGGGATTACAGGCACAAGTTACAGTGTCTGGCCCACATAATAACTTGATGTTTAACATTTTAAGGAGCTGCCAAAGTATTTTCCAAAGCAGTGGCACCACCAGCCATTCCCACCAGCTATGTATAAGGCTTTCAGTTTCTCCATATCCTCAACTCTTGCTGTCTATCTTTCTTATTTCAGTCATCATAGTGGATGTGAAGTGATATTTCATTGTGATTTTGATTTGCATTTTACTGATGGCTAATGATGTTGAGCATATTTTCATGTGCTTACTGGCTACTATGATTTGAATGTATGTGTCCCTTCAAAATTCATATATTGGAAATTAAACCCTAACATGATGGCATGAAAAGGGCCTTTAGGAGTGATTAAGTCCTGAGGGTAGAGCCCTTGTAAATGGGACTGGTGATCTTATAAAAAGGCTGGAGGGAACTAGCTAGACCCTTTTGCCCTTCTGCCTTCCACCATGTGAGAATGCAGTGTTCATCCCCTCTGGAGGGTACCCCAACAAGAGACAGAGACCAGGCCCTTGGACACTGAAACTGCCAGTGCCTTGATCTTGGACTTTCAGCCTCCACAACTGTGAGAAATAAATTTTTGTTCTTTGTAAATTACCCAATCTCAGGTAATTTGTTATAGCAGCACAAATGGACTAAGACACAGGCCACTTGTATATCTTTCTGGAAAAATGTCTATTCTAGTCTTTTGTTCATTTTCAACTTACGTTGTCTTTTTATTGTAAGATTTCTTTATGCATTATGGATACAAGTTCCTTATCAGGTATATAATTTGCAAATATTTTCCCATTACATATGTTGCACTTCAACTTTCTTGATGGTGTACTTTGAAGCACAAAAGTTTTTGATTTTAATAAAATCCAATTTATCTTTATTTCTTTTGTTGTTTGTGTTTTTGGTGTTATATTTAAGAAACCATTGTCTAATCCAAAGTCATAATGACTTACTCCTATGCTTTCTTCTAAAAGTTTTAGTTCTTAAATTTGGATCTATGATAAAATTTAAGTTAATTTTTGTATATGGTATGATGAATCCAAATTCTTTCTTTTGCCTGTGGATTTCCAGTTGTTTCAACATCATTTGTGGAAAAGATTATTCTTTCCCCATTTAATCGTGTTGACACCTTTGTAAAAAATCAATTGCCCCAAAATGTAAGGACTTACTTCTGGACTCTTGATTCTATTCCACTGATTTATATATCTAGCCATATGCCAGCATCACACTATCTTGATTACTGTACCTTTGCAGTAAGTTTTGGAAATGGGAAGTATAAGTCCTCCGGCTTTGTTTTTCTTTTTCAAAACTATTTTGGCTCTTCTGGGTTACTTGCATTTGTATATGAATTTTAGGATGAACTTGCCCATTTCTGCAAAACAGGCAGCTGGAATTTCAACAGGGAATATGTAATATCTATAGATCAATTTGGAGAATATTGTCATGTGAACAATCTTAACAATATTAAGTCTTCTGATCCCTGTAAATATGGAATGTCTTTGTATTTACATTGATCTTTAATTTCTTTAGACAATGTTTTGTAGTTTTCAGAGTATAATTGTTTACCTTTTAAAAAAATTACTATTAATATTTTATTCTTTCTGATGCTATTATAAATGGAATTGTTTTGTTAATTTCATTTTTGGATTAGTTATTGCAAGTGTATAGAAATTCAACTGGTGTTTGTATACTGATCTTGTACTTGAAACTGTTGAACTTGTTCATTAGCTCTGATGTTTTTGGTGGATTTCTTAGGATTTTCTATATATAAGATCAGGTCATCTGTGAATAGAAACAATTTTACTGCTTCCTCTCCAATCTGGAAGCCTTTTGTTTCTTTTTCTTGCCTACTTGCTCTGGCTAGTACCTCCAGTATAATGTTGAATAGAAGTGTCAAGAATGAACGTCCTTGTCTTGTTCCTGATCTTAGGGGAAAGCATCCAGTCTTTTACCACTCAGCAAGATATTAGTTGTGAATTATTGTAGATGCCCTTTAGCTGCTTGAGGAAGTTCCCTTCTATTCTTAGTTTTCTGACTGGTTTTACCATGAAAGAATGTTGGACTTTTTGAAATGCTGTTTAAATTGTTTGCCAAATTATTCTTACCTGATACTGTCATTATAATGCATAGTTACAGCCACCTCTCCAGGTAACTCTAAGCCTGAGATGACAGGGTCAACTCATTATATATCTTTGTATTTTCAGAGCCATGAATGGTGCCTGTCACTTAATAGAAGTACAATAAATGCCTAAAGAGTAAACCAACAAATAAATGCTACCAGGCACTGTTTGATAGGCTTAATGCCAAATAAGTGATGTGGAGTGGATAACAAAGAAGAAACTAGAAGAAGTGAGCCATTGTCCTAGCTTAAATACTCTCAAACTGGCTTGGTTTATGACATGCAGAGGTACAACACTTTCTTTTCCTCCTCTCCACATTAATTTATAAGTATTCAGGATTCAGTCTTTTTTAAGTGGGGGGTAGGGTATTTCTGGATTTTGTGAGGTGGGGCCTATCTATTTGGGTTAAGTGGTTCAGAGACCAAGCATAGTGTTCTCTCTGGGTGTTGGTAACATGAGGTGCTGGCAGCTGTTAAAAACCAGCTATTCTGGCCAGGTGCAGTAGCTCACATGTATAATCCCAGCACTTTGGGAGGCAGAGACAGGCAGATCACTTGAGGCCAGGAGTTCAAGACCAGTCTGGCCAACATGGCAAAATCCTGTCTCTACTAAAAATACAAAAATTAGCCAGGCGTGGTAGTGCACGCCTATAATCCCAGCTAAGACAAAGGAAGACAAAGGAAAGGACAGTGATCCAATCCTCTGGTGCTTCTTGGATCACATGATGTATCATGAGCACAGCCTTGGTGGTCATTTCTCACTATGGAGCCCCAGCAGGTCCAGCTGTCTTCCTCCTAACTCCCTGCATGGGAGAGTTTTTTTTTTCTTTTTTCTTTTTTTTTCTTGAGATAGGATCTCACTCTGTCACCCAGGAAAGAAGGCAATGGTGCCATCATGACTTACTGTAGCCTCAACACCCAAGGCTCAAGTAATCCTCCTACCTCAGCCTCCTGAGTAGCTGGGACTATAGGCATGTACCCCCATACCTGGCTAATTTTTCTAAGTTTTTTTTTGCAAAGACACGGTCCCAGGCTGGTCTCAAACTCCTGAGCTCACATGATCCTGCCATCTCAGCCTCCTAAAGTGCTGGAGTTATAGGCTTAAGCCACCATGCGCATCCGAGAAATAGTATTTATTCTAGACTCTACGATGTTATTTTCCTTGTTCCTATTGCATGAATTTTTGTTCTAATTTCTAACCCCTTGAACTTGATTTTCCCCTCAAAGGTACTTACTCTCATGAAGGTGTTGCCTCCATGGCAGCTGACACAATCCCCTTCCAGGGTCTAGGTCTTCTGGTGCAAATTCCCACACCCAAACCTGTAGAGTCCAGAGAGGTAAGTAATCAGTGAAGCAGGTGGATGGGGATCAAGATGAAAAGGAGAGGGTTGTTACTTTTTGTTTTCTTTTTACTTGATGTATAGTTTTTTGTTGTTTCTTGGAGATGGAATCACTCTGTGTTGCCCAGGCTGGTCTTGAACTCCTGGGCTCAAGCAATCGTCTTGCCTCAGCCTCCCAAAGTAGATGGGATTAGAGCCACAAGCCATCGTGCCCAGATCCATTGTATTGGTTTTTAAAGGGAGAAGTTGTCACTCAGCTTGAGCTAAGAGTTGCCCTAAGGAAAACCGGATTAGTATTGACAGTTTTGCTTTTAAAATAAAAGGGAGGGTGGAAATGTGGAAGTTCATGTGAACTCCCCTGATTTTGGAACATTGGCAAATAATTCAGAAATTTTTACTGTGCTCTGCAGGGCCACAAAACATGACTTTGGGCTATACATATCCTGAGAATTGCTTGCTTGAAAACTCTGTTTAAGCTTTTAGATACTGAAATGCAAGTGTCTGGCAGGTGATTTTGTTACAGTAGGTAGCTAGGTAGACATGAGTGGGGCAGGAGAGGCTCCCTCCTTACCCCACTCCAGAATGTCAGCTGACCATCAGGTGATGGTCAGGCATTGTTAAGCTGTCTTTCTAAAATAATTGGTTACAGCTGGCGCCAGGGACTGTCAGTCTCCCAGTAGATAGAAAAATCCTGGAGCTGGTGATCAACTTCCCCATAAGATCTCAGGAGTTGGATGAGTGGACTCAAGCGTGCAGACTAAGAGGCGAAATGGTGGAGGTTAACTGATATGTGACTTTACTGGAACGCTGGACTGGTAAGGAAAGAATGCCTCAAGTGAGTATGCATACAACTTCAGTAAACACACTGTGTGTGCGGCGCCTCCCAAGTGCTGGCAGGCTACTGCACATGCAGGCAGCCCATCCCAAGGGAAAGATCAGGGGAGAAGAGATGCAAACCTCTCGCACTACTCCCCTCACTGCACCGGGAAGCATGCCAACGTATAAAACCCTAAGTCAAAGGTCAAACACTGCACTTGACTCTCTCAAGTTGCCCGCGTGGCCCTCTTTCAAGTGTATTTTACATCCTTTCATTCCTGCCCTACACTTTTTAACAAACTTTCACTCCTGCTCTAAAGCTTGCCTTGGTCTCTCACTCTGTCTTATGCCCTTTTTCAAATTCTTCTGAGGAGGCAAGAATTGAGGTTGCTGTAGACCTGAATGAATTCGCTACCACTAACAATTCCAGTCTTATTGTCTTGTGAAATCCTTCCACTGAAAAGTGAACCGATAATATATTCTGTCTTTGAAGTGGGAGTTGGGAGAGAGGTAAGAAAGGGAAAGGGGTAAATAATGAGAGAAATAAATCAGCTAATATTTTTAAAATGTTATACTATCTCATGTACAGTGGATTATAAATGACATGCTCACTATTTTTACTGTGGAGTGCCCACCACCTCCAAGATGAACAATGTGATTTCCTTCAAGGGAAATTGGAATCTTTATATTCTATGATTTTTTTTCTTCTTGAGATATATTTACAAAGCAAATAATTAAGACACTGATTCAGCCTTTCAATTAGATGGTTCTACCTGAAGCAAGGGAGCTCTCAGCTCCCCTATTATTTATTTCTCCTACGGAATGGTTGACTTGTGCAAGTAGCTATTTTTATGTGGAGAGATTGGAATCCAGGTACCAGACAGGGCCAGAGAAAATCCACAATACCTTCAACATCTAAGTGTCTAAATCAGGAATGGTAAATATATGGCATGCCTGCTCCCAACACATGATTCTCCTGGCCCATGACAGACTTACTAATCAATTGCATCACTTTTTCCTACCAGACCCAGAGACAGCTTTGGAATCTTCAGACAATTGATCAGATTGGCTCCTGCGAAGAACCGTTTGTCATCCTTGGTCCAGGAAGTCAACTCAAATCCAAGAAGTCAATTTTCTTAATAGCCACAAATGTATGTGACATTATGTATTTTCCATTTATGAGTCATTTAATGCAGAAACTTTATCTTTGGACCCTTTCTTTCTGGAGATCCTATTCTTTATGAGATAGGGGCAGTACCTGTAAGTGGAGACCTGCTGACCTGCAGGTCAGGAGGCCTGTGTGCCTGACAGTCACCCAGTGTTTCCTGACCTCACTCTTTCTTTTTCTTTTTTTTTTTTTTTGAGACAGAGTCCCGCTCTGTTGCCCAGGCTGGAGTGCAGTGGCGCAATCTTGACTCACTGCAGTCTTCGCCTCCTGGGTTCACTCCATTCTCCTGCCTCAGCCTCTCGAGTAGCTGGGACTACAGGCGCCCGCCACAATGCTTGGCTAATATTTTGTATTTTTGGTAGAGATGGGGTTTCACTATGTTAGCCAGGATGGTCTCCATCTCCTGACCTCGTGGTCCGCCCTCCTCGGCCTCCCAAAGTGCTGGGATTACAGGTGTGAGCCACCGCGCCCGGTCTCTTTTTCTTTTTTTTTTTTTGAGACAGAATTTTGCTCTGTCACCCAGGCTGGAGTGCAGTGGCACAATCTCAGCTCATTGCAACCTCCTCCTCCCAGGTTCAAGAGATTCTTGTGCCTCAGCCTCCCAAGTAGCTGGGACAGGTGCATGCCGCTATGCTTGGCTAATTTTGACCTCACTCTTAATCAACTATGAAATGAGGAGTCTTCAATGGAAATGCTTAAATGTGTTTGAACAATAACATTTAAGTAAAAGTCATAATGTGTTGTCTTGTCATAATATATATGTTGGGTTGCAAACAATGATAAAACATTATTCACTGTATTCGTCTTTTTAATAATCTGGAAAACTGTGCCTCAACTTGCCTTTTTTTTTTTTTTTTTTTTTTGCAACAGTGTCTTGCTCTGTTTTCCAGGATGGAGTACAGTGGCATGATCACAGCTCACTACAGCCTTAACTTCTCAGGCTCAAGCCATCCTCCTACTTTAGCCTCCTGAGTAACTTCAACTTGCCAATTCTTGGTCAGGTTTTTCCATCTTCATAGTCTTGTTAAGCACCACTTAAAATCTAAGCAGAATCTAAGGCACTTATTATCTCTTAATTTTTACATTAATTGGATATAGGTTTGGCAATGTGACTCTATTTGCTTATAGGTTACACCCCTTTCCCCTTCAATGCCACTCAGCATCGGTGAGCCCTGCCCTTCTGAGCTGACATGCTTTTTCAATTATACAAACTGGCCTGTTTTTCAGTTTAGCCTTTTCACCTGTCTGAAGTCAGGCACTTGTTGATCTGCTACTCTCAGGTTGTTTCAGCATGGACGCTAATTTCAAGGTTCTGTGGGATTAAAAAAAATCATTTTGCTTTCCTTTTTTCAGGGCTCTGGCCTATTCTTCAGAAGCCGTTAAGGTGCCTTCCCTGGGGCATCAAGTGTGATTTAGAGGTAAGCATCGTTTGTTTTGGGCTTTGCTTCTTTTTAGGTAGTGTTTACAGTGTATCACCACTGACCAGTTATTTAATTACAGAGTGACCAGTAAATCCTGCTGAGTTTTACATGTTTTTACAGGGTCAGGAAAGTCAAGGTCACTGACCAAAGTGAGGTGTTTGACTGTCAGTTTGGTTGTGTCTAATCAATAACCAAAGCAAACAGTTTCTACTCATACAATCAAGTATGATTTGTCAGACATTTATTGAGCATTTACCATTGGATATCATGCTTGGCCCTGGGAATATCAAGTTAATACAAAACGTAACTTTTGCCTTTGAAAGACTTATAGTCTCCCTTGAGATGCAGGACCTACGTGTAGAGTGATGAGAATGTAAGGACGAATATCTGAATTTGTAGAAGTCTGTATTATCTACAGACTTCTGGTTCAGAGAAGGGTCTGTTTCAAAGATCCTGGGCCATAGGAAAAGGCATCTTGAAAGGAGAAGTTTGAGGGGCTTCTTAAGCCAGTAGGAGGAATAAATCGTGACCTTGGAGGAGTGGGTGAAAGCCACTTAGCTGGGAGAGACATTCTGACTTTGAGAGACTGTGAGGGGATGTATTTGCCTGGAGCTCAGGGATCATGGGGTGGGTGTTACAGGAGAGGAGGTTGAAGAAATAGGTCCGGGCTAGACCTCAGATGCCTTTGAATTCTAGTCCGTGGCATTTGGAGCTTCTAATGTATGCGGAGAGTCTCTGATGATAGGTTTAGATGGCATTTAAAAAAGATTAATCTATCAATGTTGTGTAGGAAGAACTGCAGTGGTGGAGAGGTAGAGGCAGGGGAAATGTTTAGGAGACATTTAGCTACAATTTTAGTTGCAAGATTTTTTAAATTTTTTATCATTTTTTTGAGATGGAGTTTTGCTCTGTCACTCAGGCTGGAGTGCAGTGGCGCGATCTCGGCTCACTGAAACCTCTGCCTCCTGGGTTCAAGCAATTCTCCTGCTTCAGCCTCCCAAGTAGCTGGGACTACAGGCGCCTACCACCAAGCCTGGCTAATTTTTATACATTTTTAGTAGAGACGGGGTTTCGCCATGTTGGCCAGGCTGGTCTTGAACTCCTAACCTCAGGTGATCTAGCCACTTCAGCCTCCCAAAGTGCTGGGATTACAGGGGTGAGCCACCGCACCCAGGTGTTGCAAGATTTTTTTAAGAGGAAAAGAACAAGTCGAATGGCTCTTGCTGGGATGAAGAAAAAGCCAGGCAGCCAAGAATTTCCTACTGTAAAGAGAATTTTCTTTTTGATTTATTATTTGTGAAAAATAAGCAATGACTGGATCTGGACCGTAGCAGATCTGTATATCTACAGATCATCTCTGGATTACAATAGGTTTATAGTATTAAATGAGGGGTGTTCTCATTTTCTGGAAGGTGTTCTAAGACCATTGTGCTTCAGTGACATCTGTGCTGTCTGCATCTCTGTACCCTCAGGCAGGGCAGAGTGCAGTATCTGGTGAACTACTGCTGCTTCAAAAACTACCTTGAATGATTGAAAGCCATCAAAGAGAAAAGTGGATAAACAACAGAGCTACCAGAGGAAAGATGAAGGAAGAGAGTAAGGATGCAATCCAAAGAAACAGAAAGTAGGTCACTAACCTTCTCCCAGCCTCAAGGGAGGCATGCTGGAGAATAAAGATTTAGAAAAGGTCAAAGCCATTGTGTTGCCAGGATGGAATCAGATCAGCTTACCTTAGTTGAAGAGGGTTTATGATAAAGATTCAAGGGAAAATGAAGGAAGATGGAAATCAACCTGAGTATAATCAGTCCTTGATTATCTGGTTACCTGTTCTTTTCTTCAACAACAGTTAGCAAGTTTTTATGATGAGAAAAACTAGGCAACTGAAATGCTTGTGTTGAGGGAGCAGTGTTACAAAGCCGTGAAGGTTTGAAAGAGCAGTGTGTTAGTAAGGTATTCCAAGAGTTTGGGAATTGCTAGAGCAAACAAAAGTTAGAAACTGGCTGCCTACAGATGTGTGGTATTTGGCCAGAACAGTGTTTTGTTTTGTGTTTAAATTTATATATTAGTTGTCAATGCCGTAATTGGATTTTACACAAAAATACCATTTTTGTTTATCAGTTACTATATAAGAAATCATATCAAAACTTAGTGGTTTAAAATTTAACCCTTATTTTATTCCTTATATTATTATCTCTTACAGTTCTGGGAAATGACTGGGCTCAGTTAAGAGACTCTCATTCAGGGTCTGTCATGTGGTTGCAGTGCAAGGATGGCTGGGATTGGGGTCATCTTGAAAACTTCCACCCACATGTGGGTGGTTGATGAGACTGTAGCAGGGGCTGTGAGACAGAACTACATGTAGCCTCCCCTCCTTGTCCCTGGGGCAAGTGTCACAGAGAGATAGGAAGCAAAGCTCTTAGTTTCTTAAAGCTTGGGCCTGGAAACTGTCGCTGCATCACTTCCATTGTTCAAGCAGTGCTAGGGCCTGATTTATGTCCCCCCAAAATTTATGCGTTGAAGCCCTGTATTAGTCTGTTCTCATGCTGCTAATAAAGACATACCTGAGACTGGGTAATTTATAAAGGAAAGAGATTTAATGGACTCATGCTTCTACATGGCTGGGAGGCCTCACAATCATGGTGGAGGCAAATGAGGAGCAAAGTCATATCTTACATGGCGGCAGGCAAGAGGGTGTGTGCAGGGGAACTGCCCTTTTATAAAATCATCAGATCTCTTGAGACTTACGTGCTGTCACGAGAATGGCACAGGGAAAATTCACCCCCGTGATTCAGTTACCTTCCACTAGGTCCCTCCCGCGACATGTGGGGATTATTACAATTCAAGGTGAGATTTGGGTCAGGACACAACCAAACCATATTAAGCCCTAAGACCCAGTACCTCAGAATTTCATTGTATTTGGAAGTAGGGCCTTTAAAGAGGTAATTAAGTTAAAATGATGCTGTTAGGTGGGCCTTAATCCAATATCACTGCGCCTTTATAAAGAGAGGAGATTAGGACATAGAGATACCAGACGTGCACATGGGGCAAATACGTCAGGACATGGTAAGAAGGTGGCTGTCTGCAATCAAAAAGGAGACACCTATGAAGAAACCAGATCTGCAACACTTTGATCTAGGACTTCCATCCTCCAGAACTGCAGGAAAATAGATTTCTGTTGATTAACCCCCACCAGTTTGTGGTATTTTGTAACGGCAGCCCAAGCCAACTAACACACCTGAAGGGTTTTAGGTCCTAGGTAACATGACTCTCTCTCTCCACCCACCCACCATCTATCCATTTCTCTGGTGGTGGTGTGATGGCCAGAGGCAGGGAGTGTGGCCCAGCAGTTCTCTCAATAGTTAGATGGAGGACAGGTGATGAACAGGCATATTGGAAATGGGAGAAGCACAAAGCAGAGAAAGACTTCCAATGTAAAATTGGCAGTATCTGGTGATTAGATATTTGGAGTGGGGGGATCCTCAGAGGGAAAGGCCAGTGAATGCCAGATGGAGAATAATGAGGTCCTGTGGAGGGGGAGATTTGGTTGGCAACATTTCAATAGCATCTTTCATTGACAGAAATATATTATTGACTGAAGTAATACAAGACACATAGGTGGGCCCTAGAAATTAGAGCCCATATTTCACCCTCTTCTAGGCAAGGTGAGCTAAGGCTCTGTTTGGGTGTGAGATTGGCGAAGGCCATTCTCTTCTTTTGCAGGAGAGGTGAACCCAAGGGGAACCCAAGCATACCTATCCCATGGGAGTAGCTCAGTGTCCAGGTGGGCTGGGCTCTGCCCCTACAGATGTGTCCAAGAATAGGGACAAAGAAAAAAATATAGAAGAAAATAGATTAAAAAGTAGATTAATAATATTGAAAATAATAGAAAAAAATAGGTTAAAAAGAATTGACAAAACTTTAGGCGTAAGTGAGCACCTCCTCTGCCTCATTGCTGCTGCTACAAGCTCCCTGCCCCAGGGTCCTCAACATCCCCATTCTCTAGGTGTCCTGGCTGACTTTGTTCTCAGGGGAGCCTGTTAGTAAGGCACCACTGCAAAGCAGCTATGATGGCAACACCATATGTATGGGATAGTATTTGAACAGGGAAAATGGATTAATTTGGAATTTATGTTCATTCCCAATAGGAGCTAAAGTTGACATTTACTTTAGAAATACCAAGAAAAAAAATAAACCAAATGAGTAGAATAGACCAGATTTCAAGAGAATGCTTACCTCCTCAAGGGAAGGAAGTGTTTTCTAGTGCTTCAGAAGGAATAATTTGCATATAAACAATGCCCTTGTGGGCTGAGGCCAGTGTGGCTCAAGCTGCCACCTTAGAGCTAATTAGAAGTCATTTTTCTTCTTTAAACCAGTGTTTCTGCCACTGCACCTCTCCTGCTTTGATGCTGCCTGCACTTGAAGTTAAGAAAATCTAATTTCCTCATTCACAGACATCATTTCAACCTTTCTTAATTTAAGCAGATTTTCTTTCTCAAATACTAGAATACAAATTAGGGAAAAGAAAAAAATAGATGAAAAAGAATTGACAAAACTTTAGGCATAAATGAGTGTCATTTGACTTATTCTCCCTGCCATTCTACCTCTCTTAATTTCTATTTGCTGCTGAAAAGCCTGAGCTGGGCTCAGTCCCCTGGGTCTCCATGAGCGTGTTCCCAGCCAGCCAGAGAGTGATCCTCTTTCCAAAGTGGATCTCTGGCAATCTGTAAATCTTCCGTGTCTTACATGGCAACTGTATAGGGAATTTTTCTTCCTAGAAAATGCACAGAGATGATGTTTTCTCATTAAAAGGGGAAAAAAGCCTAGATATTTTCACTTAAGATTATAAAATCTTTCACTCATGTTGTGCACATCCACAATGCTGCCACTGTTTTCTTTTCCTGACCCTCAGACTCTCAGTTAGGCACTGCCCCTCTGAGGTTTGAACATGAAGACAATGACTGCTTGAATCACCACTCAGGGCACAAACAGCCCTCAAGCACCCTCTGAGATTTTTTTTTTTCCTTCTTCTCATATCTGTTTAAACATTTCAACTCAGCATGCAATGTGTCTGAAAATGGCTCTGATGTAATTATTTGCAATGATACCTCTCTGCCACAGCCTGTAATTCCCTCTTGATTAAGATGGCGATATTGATTTGGCTGGGATTACATGCAAATAAACCATGACATTGGGAGAAGCGTAGTTTTTCAGTCTGCCAGTGTCGGTGATTTCCCTTTAGTAATCGTTTCTCCTGCCCATATGGTTTGACTACAGCATTTATATAGATTAGTAACTGTCTACTAGGCTCAGATAGAAACTATACTCATCAAAAGTTCTCATCTGGAGCCTTTGTTTAGGTTGCGCCTTTCAACCACAGCCATCTCTGCTCTACATTTATCAGAGTGATCGAAGAGGAATGGGCTCTCTCCGTTGGCCAAAAGGTCATGGTAGTACAGAGGGAGACAGGTGGAGGAGAGATTGAGAAAATATTTTAGGGCAATGGAGTGATTTGTTAGTTGGCCACTACATAAGAGTGCGTGACCTTCTCCAGCCATGTATTAAAGGCTATAGTCTTTTAAGTAAATAGTGCCAATTCACATTTACTTGGCACAAAATTTTGCAGTTGTGGATCTTTTCAAGGGTAAGGAAAAAAAAAATACTTTGGGAGGACATAACTATACCTACCACCCAAGCAGACTTTGTGCTACCTGGAGTTCCAGTGTAAGAGGGATCAGGAAGGATGAGTGCCACTGAGGACAAATCTAGGAGCAGTGGGTTGGCAGGGATTCCTTGCAACATTAATTTGAAAAGTGCGTAATTCAAATAAAACTGATGTCTGAATTAAAAGGGATGCTTTTGCGTGTGCGTGAGTAAATGTTATGAGTTATAGAAGACTAAAGAGACATGACAACTAAAGGCAATACT